CACATGAGAACGTACTAATGCTCATCTTACATTTGCTTTAGAAGATCATTTGTCGTGGCCAAACGATTAACAATAAATCCATGAACAATGCTGCGCTTTGCCATAGAATCAATGTCATCCTTGTTTTTTCCATATTATCAAGTAGTTTTGTATGTCAATTCTATGAGGTTATTGCTGAACTGACTTGCAATGGTTAAGCCAATGATAATTACTTCCAAAATTTTTTTCATTAAAAAATATTTTTCTCAATGTTGAGTCAACTCATTCTTTTATTAATGTCCTATCCGGTCTCTCGTTGCGATGCCAAGATTAATGAGCCTTTCTTTTTGTTGTGGCTTTCGAACAGAAGAGCAGCATCCGAATTTTGATATCATCCGGGTCATCATGATGTAGTTACCTTGCAAATAAAGTCTAGTTCAACTGAATTTTTCTCCTACCTTCATTTTTTTGTAGGCCCTACACCTGTTTTATTTCCTTTTTATGCGTAGACTTTTCTAGACATTTTTTAATTTTAAAAATTGTTTGCTTAAGAATGAATCGACCGCGAGGACCACGGACACCACCAATGCCACCGTGCGAAGAAGAAGTCCCGCCACCGCCAGCAATACCTCCACCAATCGCTCCGATTCCTGCTCCTGCAACTTATCCGCCGCAAGTTCCTGTCGTTGCACCTGCACCATATGCAGCACCACCGGTGTAAGAAATATTAATTTCATCTTTTTCATTGTGAAATTTAGAGTGGTCGTATGTTATCTGGCTTTAAGCGGTTAATATATCTTTTTCCTCTTTCTATTCTTAAATTACATTCTTCAGGATGTCGTATCCATTTTTTCCACCACCTATGTTCTTCCCTGGATGTCCGCCGATTCCACCTATGCCACCAATGATGCCACAGTGTTCAAGTATGCTTCTTCTCATTTACTATTTTCCAGTTTATCTTTGCGGTTAATTTCGATCCATTTGAGGAAGATGGAGAATGGAATTTTTGTTTCAGCAATTGTTCAGCCAGCAATGGCTCCGCCTACAGCACAAGTGAAGCTTACGATCTCAGACTTTCCATCACAAAAATCACACAAAAAAGAAGTGGTATGTTAAATCATTTAGAAACCCCTTCTAGGTTAGCTATCTCAAAGTAGTACACTGTTTGTGTAAAATTTATCTCTCTGTAAGCTCCAGTCTCTTCTTTCTTTTACAAGAGAGTCATTTATGAAGAGCGTGAAGCAGTTTATTTTTGCATAATGAGGTTTTTAAAGAAAAGTTTTTGAATCTTTTTTATGCTTCTCATATACATGCTAGAAATGAAGTAATCAATTTAGGCAGACATAATTTTTACATTTGTAGCTTTTTTTCTGATGTAACGAGACTCAGTAGTTAAATTCATAGATAAGGTCGCAGTTTTTTTAAGAAGTTATAACTCATCTTATTTGCATATTTTTATCAGCCGATGAATGAAGAGAGAAGATTGGAGATTGAAAGAAAGATAGAAGAACAGATCCGTAAAGAGCAGGAACGAAGGCGACTATTAGAATTGAAAAAGGTACGATCAACTTCAGTATTTGTATTTCTTTGAATTGCTCTTAAGTTCGATTAAGGCATACTGTGAAGCTAGAGTAATGTTTGACAATACTTAATAATTCAAAAATTTATCTTTGATTTGAACTTTTTTTTT